GGTGCAGACGTCCCGTGTTTCGATCTGTACTTTTGCTTTCGTTGACCGATAGCTGCTAACTTGACGTGGTGGTCGGGCTTGCATATCACAATGACCCAACGAGCTATGCTGTTGGAACGCTTGTTCCCTCGAGGTCCTACCATACCAGAAAGGTCTGTTGGATAGTGGTTAGACGAAAAGCAGTTACCGTTATAGTGTAAATTGCTACACTATGATGGGGGTCTGAGGGCGAAGTCTTACTGCTGCTAGTGGATGGGGTGTGACAGCAGTAAGGTGTTTCCCTTGGATGACCAGCAGTGCCAAGCTGATGCTGCCTTCTCAGTGGAAGGGGGATAGGGGTTAGAAAAGGTCGGCCTCAAAAATAACAGACTCCACCACGCCCCACGATCTGCCGGGCCGGCAGTGTTGGTTCACTTGTCATTTCCTTTCGACCATCCGGCCCCACAAATACAAAAGTTCAAAATAATCATACTCAAAAGGCTGGGTGTGACAGGCCTCAAGCAGATGTCCGTTGGGCTCTGCGGTCACACAAATCTCTTTCAGGTACCTTAAGAAGAAATAGCCTTCCACGGTGTGGGCAGCTGGGAAGTGTCAACCGCCCTCACAACTCTGTGAGCACCCAAGTTTCTTCTGACTGCTATCCTTCTCCTCCATCATTACCTTCTAATCTTCCTTCACGTCTCTTAATTAATGATTTCGTCGAGAGAAGAGAGGGCACATCGACCAGTTGGCTTCCCGATGGCTTTCACCAGCTGGCGTCATTTCATCTTTCCGATTCCAACGGGTAATAAGTTTGTTTTGATTTTTGATAATTTCTTTGTGCTTTGAAGTGTCTTTAGCAATCAGATTGTTTTTCCGGGTTAGATTTGCGAGCCGTATGCCGAAGTTTTCCTCTTTATCCGGGCTTAGGACCGGCTAGTAACTAGTGAACTAGTTAACTAGACGAGGTCTAGAAGCATGAATGCTTGCTATGCACTAATTATTTTATCAGGTTTGTTTATTATTGAGAGGATGTGAAGTTAATAAATGACTTTTTAAATGGTTACTTGGTTGGGAAAGCGTTCAAGGTGGAGGGAAATTGTGTGACATGGTGATTATTTTGCATCAACGAATTTTCTTCCTCAGGTTTACATGAGTCTTATTGGCGTGTATTAGATGAGTTGCATATTGCAGTACATTAGCGTAGTAAACTTTTATCATTTTTGTCAAATTTTATTTAAACGAACGAACTTTCCTATCAGATTAATAATGTCATGTGGATCACAATATTGATACTGGGTGATAATTAAAGGTGAAATGAAAATTTGGGCCGCGGTGAGATTCAAACCGACAACTGCCGGTTCTCCTACCCAGTACTCTTTCAACTAAGCTCCGAGACCAATAGTTTTCTCGTAGCCAAGTATCAGTACTATCTCAGATAGTTAAAAATGATAATTATAATGTTGAATAATTTATCTCACCTTCCCAATTATAGAGAAAAGTTTTAATTCAAGTGAAATATACTCCAGAAAAACCCGGGTATTTTAAATTCACTATTAAAATTGTTACTTGATTTTGGCTAATATACTATAAGAACTGTAATTTTATTTCTATAATCTAGTAGTGGACTGGTAAAGTATATTCAGGTAGGTGAACAGTGAAACTGCCAACAATACTGTACTGTATTGTGTGCTTCTGGCATAACATCATATTATGACTAACGTCAGCTCAGAGGATCATCGATTTAGTGGCTACACATATTGACGTTCCGTGTTGTCAATCGATACGTAGTTAGTTGAGTTATTTTTTGTGATAGATGAAACAATGTAAGGCGTATCAGAAAACTACCATCCATTTGTTATGTAATGCACTTTGTTAAAATTCGACTGGACAGTTTTGTTAAATTTACGAAAATCATAATTTCGCGTTATAATTTGCTACTGGTGGCTACCAATGAAATTCAAAATGCGCATTTCGTCTTACTTGGGACTCGTCAGCTGGATGCACCTACATCCCAGTGAGTGATAGTGTTCCAACCGAGACTTGAATCCAACACCCATCGCTTCAGTTTTCATTTTCGTTTTAAACTGTTGCTACTATCATGTGAATATTAATGCTTGAGAGTGTTAGGAATTTTGAAAACATATGCTTTTAAGCAAAGCAATCAACTGTCATCTTTATGTTTCTCCTAGCCTAGACATATTGTGTGTTAACTAGCCTAGACTAAATAAATATATTCACTAACGAAGGTCTTGAACGACTAAATGACGATATATTATTCATTTTGTCATTTCAGTGAAACAGTAGCAAAAATAAGTATTTATATCTGTTATGGTCGATGGTATATATAACGATACAATGCTCCGACGTGATACGATTAGTGATAGAACAGTGACTTCTCAGTTTGATATTCAGCTGACATCAGAAGAAGGCGATGGGATTGAAAGTATATTTACTTCAACTGAATCCTCAAAGCTGTTGTTTATATATCCTTAGATGGTCTTGACCAGGGAAAGCTAAATAGCATATTTAAAGTGTAAAATGGTCGAATCAGCGTTTAGTATCCGAAACTGCGGTAAAAATAAGTGACATAGCTTGGTGTGAAAATAAAGTTAAAATTTTACAGTGATAATATAAACATATTATACATTGAAAGTAGTATTCATCATGGACTGAAATTAGTTGGGGAACGATTGAAAATCTGGGAGCACTGGACAGCTGTTTCGTCCTAGTATGGGACTCCTCAGCAGTACGCACCCACGACCCGGCTACCGATCGAATTTAGGACCTCCAGGTTTCACGGCGAACGCATTAATCATTCAGCCACTTCAGAAACTTCGGAACAAAAAGTGGTTGAAAAAGGCTTCTGGAAGATATGGCTGCCTATGAAGATTTTGATGATTTTATTCCACACTAAAACAAAAGGGAGACATGAATACCTTGCTATTTATCGACTGATTGTTGGGTTGGTTCATTGGATATAATTTTCCGTATTCTTTACGGGGTAGTTTTCGGAAAACAGCCATTTTGTTCATTTGAAAGTCTATCTTTATTTCACTTCATAATTGTGGGCGACTTTAAAGGCCATCTTAGCAACTGCTAAATTAATCAATTTGGTTCCGGTTTTCGGGCTAGAGAAGTAATTTTTAATGAAATATAAGTCTAATTGGTTATCTCAGCAGTTGCTATGGTGGTCTCTAAAGCAACTCCATTATTGATGTGGAACTAATTGAAAGGGCTAGTGCTGGAGATTTTTCATTCTTTTTATCAATAGGGAGAAGGTGATGATCAATTGGTTGACTCAAATCTTTAAGATAGAGTAAAAGTCTGAGTATATCAATATTTCAGAGATCTAAGATGGATTTGGATGAATGATTCATAACCGCCTGTTTTTTAACTGCTGAAAATGTAAAAAAGCGATGCAGATGTAAATGTTGTTTTATTGGATGATGTTAATTTATGAATTGTTTTCTATGTACATTACAAGTAGATGAAGTTACTTATAAGGAATTTTCACTACTTGATCTAAGCATGAGTAAAGGATATTAGGAGGGGATCAGCAAGAGATCCTGAACCTAGTTCTCGTGCTTGTTGTCACTCGTCAGCAAGGCGTATCTACAGTCTTGAAGAAACTCATGTCCCCTCTGGGATTCAAACCCACTTCACCTAGTGTTGCACTTAGTGACATCATCACTGAGTTATTTAGACCTGATTGTCGATTCTCCCCACCAAGTTATATTCACCACGATGATAAGCCTCTTACCATGGTGGCAGTATTGTGACGATATTCGATAGAATTCGATTAGCACTCACACCTTGATATTGGTTGCTATCCATTGACCAGTCAATGCCATCCATCCATCCATTCAAATCAACATTCGACCAGGCATTACTGCATAATGGTCTGAGTTGCCACACCTCATATCAGTATATCAAGTAAAGAGGTTGTGAAGTGGAAGATGAAGAAAAGAAATTTCAGTCAAAAGAAATATAAAGTACTAAAAGAGAAAAAGGAAGAATGAGAAAATGGTGAGATTCGGTATAGCGTTAAGATGAGGATAATGTATGTATACATCTGCACCAATGACATCGGTTCTGAGCCAGGCCATCACCTAGAGTCTGCAACCACTGGTTCTTCTTGTCCCATGGACCCCAACCGACTAGTCTGCATCGTCCCACATGGCTCAAACCAATAGTCAAACACTTTATACATTGGTGGCATGTTTTAGTCTGGCCACATAGAGCCTTTTTCCAGCCTGAACCTACTTCGGCAAGGATTGTGTGACGAGGCAGATAGCCACACGTGCCCCAACCATCTTAGTCGATGAAGGTTCACAACTGTGTGGAATGATTTACTTCTTCTGTGTAAAACTCTACACCTGACTTTTGCGTTACTCACGTGTTGTGGTGACACCACGGAATACGACCTATACTACGAATACACCGGTGGTCAAACACCTGAAGCCTTTTCATGTCTTCCATCTTCAGTGGCCATGTTTCACAGCGATACAGTAGAACATAGTGGACTGCTGTGCAGTATACGCGACCCTTCATAGACACGCATTAGTGAAGGGATTTTATGAGATTCAAACAATGTATATCTTTCTGCTGGATAGCGCGGCAATAAGTGATGATCCATCCTCTTTTTATTTTTTCTACCTACTTCGACTTAAGCAATCGAGTGTCATCATAAACCCTTGGAACACAATAAATGAGGCTCATATCCTATTACATAAAACTGTATAGAGTATAGTTGTTTCAGCCTAACAAATTGGGTCGAAAATATCGTATAGTTTGTGTTGAAATTCATAGTTAGGTTATAAAGAAATGTTTTATTTTTGCTTTCTATACACCTTATAGAAATGTAGTTTGAAAATATACCCTATTATGTCAGTTGATATTCCCTTCGAAAATGCTTAGTGTGTTGTGATAACAGTAATAATAAATTTGATATAATATATAATTATTAACAAATCTCAACACTTATTCTTTTAACTTGTTGATTTTTTCCTTATCTTTAGATATCCTTTTTAAAACAAAGTTGGAGAGAAATAAAGGTATCATAACTTTTTTATTTATTTGATCAGTTTTAGAGAGCATAATTTTAGTATTCTTTGAATCTTATCTTTGACAGTGTACTTAGTTCAGAGATGCTCTCATACCACTTACATCCGTTCAATTGAGATGTTGTTGTCGAGGCTTCAAGGATACTGAGCCAACAGAGCCAAAACAGTAATTATCGGAGACATTATCTATTGGTTTAAAGCATATCAGGAATTTGAAGCCGTCTAAATGAAGTTAAACAAGATGATTACAGCGAGAATTTTTTTTATTTTCGACGAAATCATTCCCTTAGCTGTGTGTATTCTTAGACATAAAAGGATGGAGCATTCTAGAGTAATTTCGGTTAAAGGTCAATGTAGATTGTATCACAAAGGAAAGTTAGGTAGTGGGGATATAAACAAGATGATTACAAAATAAAAATAGTTACATCTTATGTGGGTTATCTAGAGTGATTGATAGTTTACAATGCCCATGTCAAAGAAAGAAGTAGAATCTTCTTTTGAACCTTTGATGATGGCTTTAACTTTGAAATCACTAATCTTTTAGCTGTACCTAGATGTTTTAGCCTCACTCGTTTTGAATGGCTTGGTCGCACTTTGTACAGAATTTTGAAGGACTTATCAAAAGCAGCCAAGTGTACTGAGTTTTATAAGTGTTCTGTTACCGAGCTAGGGATCCATTTTTGTTATTTCCTTGACAAATAAGTTGGATAGTGTTCGGGAGTGCGATGCATAAGTTAGTGCATAGTACGGATGATGTACTCGGCTTCATTGTGGCAGCTAAACTGATATGCACACATTGATTTGGTGCAATATTCCAGCCCATCCTTGCGTACCGATGAATGACTTTCTAACAGGAGAATGTGATTCTAAGTTTGGCGGTAAAAAATGTTCTGTTTATGAATCTTGATAGTCTCTTTTTAAGCATATCTGCCGCATCATCTCCCTTGAATTCGAGGTTTAACAATAAAATCTTTTTCGGAGAAGTATGCATATATTCCGTGGTGTTTTTCGGCTTTAGATTCTTTTCCATAAATTTTAATGGAGATCCGTTTTATATCAGGATTTATCACAAGTTTTCTAGTTCATCATGGGTCGTACCCTCCGTGCATATTTTTTGACGCAATTGTATTCTTTGTTTTCCTATGTTCAAATGGGATCGTTTCGATACTTAATAAGACAGTAGAAATCGATGATTGAGTCAATCAGCATCAACGTGAAACCCAGCATTACTGTATTGTTTGCTAAGTCTTTGCATAACAGCTACTTATTATTTAATTAGTCCCTTGGGTTCCTAGTGGAATATAAGTCCTCAGTAGCACGTCTCCATTGCACTCTGTTCTCTGCAGTCTCCTTAACCTGACTCCACCACAGCCCACAAGCTTTCATTTATTCCTCACATGATATACTCCATGTCACCCTCGCCTCGGACACCCAACTCGTCGTTTCCCCTTTGAATTCCACATGTGGGCCTGGTCTGGCGCGCGATTTCCCCAAATATCTTCTGAGTATATGTTCAATGCAATCCAATCCGATCGATCTCCACTTTCTTCTGCCTATTTGTTGGGTGATGGGTTGTTAGTTGGTTCGTTGCCAGTCAGAGTGAGTTCCTTGTAGCTTATTCTTCTTATTCTGACCATCTGATCTTCAGTGTGAGTATCGGGTGAGCGTAGGTTGTAGATGTTGATGAATGTCTTTAGTTTGTTGGAAATGCTTTTCGTGATGCTCCGCCAAGTCTCTCAACCATCACATAGAAGTACTGACTGACTTGACTGAATTAGTGTTGAAAATCCGAATATTGTTTAAGCTTTATGTTGAGTGAAGTAGATCTGCAGACTGATTTCAGGTTAATGAATGCCTATCTAGCTGTCTTTTGTATCCTGACTTTGACGTCCTCATCTGTGCCTGTGGCGCCTGTAGTTGAAAGGATGCTGCCTAGGTAGGTAGGTGGAAGAGACTACTTCCTTTAGGTTTCTCTCGTTGATGGTGATTGGTTCTTGTTGTTGGTTGTGTATCTTCATCACCTCTGTCTTTTCTACTTTCACCTGAAGGAAGTCCTGTCTCCGCTGCCCCACCTCTCCTGTCAACTTGTTGGTTTTTGCCTGTAGATCTTGGAGTTTGTGCGACAAGACATTAGGGATGAATCGTCATCGGCGGCGAAGTCCAAATATTCTTCTGTTTTTTTTCCATCTGTCCAGCCAGCGTATACCCCTCTTCTCGCTCCTCACAGTTTATTGCATGACCTTGTCGAGTCGAGTCGACGACAATCAGGAAGATGATCGGTGATAGTATGTGGCAACCTTATCTTTCTCTTGTCTTCACTTCAAATGCGTCAGTGAGCTTTCTATTGTGAATCACTTGGCATGTAGTGTCGTCATATAGTGTATAGTTGTTGACTGAGGTTGATGGAGGTATGTGGCACTAAAACCGTAGTGTTGAAGCAGCTGGTTTCCAAATTATTTGTCGGTCGACGCTGTCGAATGCTTTTTCGAAGTGGATGAAGTTGGGGTAAGGTAGAGAGTTGATTGCCATTCTGTGTTCTGTTCCATGATGATACCCAGCTAACGTGAGGGCAAAATTAAGATGCATTTACGTCACTGCGATCGATTCTTGGTGTAAGCGTCTAGTGTCCATCCTCCTCTGCACAGTTTTGATTAGCACTCGGTGACTTCATGAACTAATTTCTTGCTTTGGGTTCACTACCCTTTACTCTCAACATCATAACTCCACTTAAGTAAACGTTCCATGTTAGTTTAGATGGTGATTCTTCATCTTTAACAGCCTGGGTTTACCTCTGCGTAGCACACAAATTCCTATTAGGTAGTTGAATACTGCCCCATCTCCTAAAGTGTCATTAGTTGGCAAAAACGAATCGAGCTTTGGGTTTCCCAGTTGACCTTGCATCGGTCAGGTTTGATACGACATCCGAGGCATATGAAGTGGTCAGAACATTCGATTGTTTTACTCAAACTACAGCACTAGTTACCTCCAGTGCTTGTCCGTCAGGGCACATTGACCTTCTTTTCATGTTACTTGTATCTTTCTCGAAGTTATCGGAGTTAGAAGTTATGTCAATATTCTATTCAGGTTCCCGTGGGGTTAAAATGCAATCTGGAAGGTAGGTAGACTGCCAGAGGAACTATTTCTCGAAATGTTGTGCTTATCACCCATGTTCTCCCTACTGTGAAAGGATTATCTATTGATGCTTCTTCTTTATAGTTTCATTGATCACGACATTTTTTTCGGACTAATTTCTCCAATAACTTTAAATAAATGCTTATCAATTTTTTTCGCCGTTATTTTCTCCTCCTTTTTAGTCCCCACTGCTTGCCTATCATTGCTGAAATGCAATGAGTAGACTTTTTTCAGTCTTCACTTAAGTTGCTTCTGCTCCTGGTTGCATCTAAGCCTGCAGGATCGTTTTCATATTCATTCATCAGTTCGGATGAGACTGTTGAGATACAGTATCCCTTTTTTCATTTTTCTGAGAGTCATCTGAAATATCATCTTTTGTTACGATGAGCCGAAAATTGTGGTGTGCTTTTTAGGATGTATAAAATTGTACTATTCTGCTAACTGTCTGGCCGCCTCATGTTTAAAAGCAGTTTTATTGTTTTCCATCTTCGCTTTGAACTTGGAATAGTCTCCTCGCTGTGGTCCTCCTACATCCACTTAGGTGCAGATATACATGTTCTCGAATCAACTTGAGGCCGCTATCTAAACACGTGCTAATGAACGCGTTGAGCATAAATCTGATTATGTTTGGCAAGCGTTTCGCACCCCGGTCCAATAGCTGCAATCTTGATGTGGTGGTCAGACTTTGATATCACAATGACCCAACAAGCTACATTCCCTCGAGGTCCTACTATGCCACAAAGGTCTGTTAGATGGTTAGTGTCAAAACAAAAAGAATTTACAGTTGTAGTGTCAATTGCTACACTATGGCGCGGGTTGGAGGGTGAAGTCGTACAGATGGCTGGATGGGGCGTGACAACAGCAGTGTATTTCCCTTGGATGACCACCAGTGCCACACTGGTACTGTGTTCCCTTTGGTAAGGGGATGGGGGTTAGAAAAGGTTGATCCCTAGAGTAGCACACTCCTCCCTGAATCACAGTCTTCTAGTACTGGTGGTGTGGGTTCTCTCTGTTTGGCTTCGAAACATCCAGATCTCATAAAAACAATCCTGTAAGGGCTGTGTATGACAGCCCTCTAGCAGATATCCCATGGGCTCTGTGATCACACAAACCCTTTTATCTTTTAATTATTTTAAGAAGAAATTGCCCTCCACGGTGTGTACGGCCAGACGTTTCCGGTATTAATTAAGAGCCAACCAAGCATAACATATTCTCCTTAACTCTGTCTCTTCCTTTTGTTCCACCTCCTAATACTGATATTAGCCCTGTAGAACTTCCTCTGTCTCTCACACTTCGACCGGTGGCAACGATGCAAGCCATCGAAGTGTCTCCCAAGACCCCACCATCGGTTTTATGTATGGGGTTTCAACGTGTGAACTCTGTACCAAGTCGGATGGCGGGCATTGCTCACTAGGACTTAAATTTTGAGATATGGTTGTATGCTGTCTCTGAGACACGTGTACAGGGTGGGAGTGTGGTTATTAAACTGACTTCAGCTGACCAGTGTGGTGTCTTCAAAATACCTGTTACGAGTATGTGGAGACGCAGTGGTTAGCTCTCGTGGACTGACTGGTGTAGGCATAGCATTGAGCTGTAGGACAGGAAGTTCGCTTCTCAACTGGATACCAGTCTACAGCTGTCTGTGTGCTATATGTGTGAATGTATCTGCAAGAACTTTGAAGGATTGTGGGACTAACTGATGCCCATTGGTGATCTTCGCCTACATACCTACTGACTGCAGTTCGGATGATGCGAAGAATGAATACTATGAGAAACTGTCAACTTTGCTACAAAAGGCAAGATGTTCAGATGTAGTAATAATGGTAGGTGACTTTAACGTAGAGTTAGGTCAGCTGAGCTGAGCTCAGCCAATGGGAAATGTGTGTTTGTGGTTATATCTGGAATGGCATGCCAAGGAACGGACAACGGTGATGGTGTATTACAGTTTGATTGTGATTGTGACACTGACTTGTTTCTGTGCAGGACTAAGGCAGGACTAGGGCACAGGGAGAGACAGTGTTTCACAGATTATCCGCTGAGATTAAAGCTGCGATTGTGGAGTAATGCCGCTGTTTGTGGAGTATGGGTGTTTTGACCGTGATCATATGCTAGTGTTGAGTTGTATGTGTCTGGGCGATACTGGTCGCAGGAAACAGGAGGCAGTGAAGCCCATGTTTGCTGGATCTATGGATGAGGATGTCAAGTATGTGATTTTGTGAGGAGTTAACTCAGCAATTATCTGAACATGAGAACAATCGTGATTTATAGGAAATCTGGTGTGATATTGAGTCTGGTCCGCGTCCTTGTGACCGATTTTCAGTCACGTCACCAAGTGTTTTCAACCACTTATTCCTACCGTCTCTGTTATCGCAGCCAGGTAGTCTACATCTCCCAACATGACTCAGAATAGCAGTTAGGGACTTCAAGCACTGTTGCCACGTCTTGGTCTGACCACTCTAAAACGTCTCCCAACCTTATTCAGTTTACTGTAGAATGGCTCATCAAGGTAGGCGGTGGGTTGGCATGCACAGCCACCTCAGTCGATGAAGATTCACAAACTTATGCGTCGACCTTTCTCCCTTGCCAGGTACCTTTTGCCTTACTTCTATATTTCTCGCACCATGATTCCACCATATGCGAGTAATGCTACGAAAGCACCACTTCATTTCTTCTACTTTCAACGGGTGTGTGTCGCAACCGTATAACAGGAGAGAACGAACTGCAGCACAACATACTCATTCTTTGGTAGATAGGTATTTCACGGGCACTACAGATGACCCCAATTAATAAATGACGAAAGCGGACTGTCTTTATCCGAGCTAAGATTTCAGCAGCAACCAGCCCGCTCTGGTTGATGCAACTCCCCAAGTAAGTGAAGTGATTGACTTATTCCACTACCCCACTCTTAATTAAAGTGGGAGTGGTTGCAAACGAATCCTGACGCATAATCTTGCACCTGACAGATGCGAATCGCTCGCTAAACGTACTCAGATTTCTACTCAAGTTATCTAAGAAGATGTTGCATTTTGTCACATTCTTCACCTAGGAGGACAAAATCGTCTACATCCTCCAAGTCAACCAGATTACCATCTAGGAGTAGATGAATCAGTGTGAGGTCAGACGTACTTAAGGTTATCTCCATTAGTACGCCTACAATATCTTTCTTAGGTCGTTGTGTTTCCTAAAAACTGTCCTGAAATGTCAACTCAGTCTATCACAACCACCTTACTGTAGAAGTTGCGTGGGTTTTAACTATTTTGTCATCGTTCGTGTTTCCGATGACTGTACTTTATATTTTACTTACTGGTTACAACGAAGATATACTTTTTCCCTATCGTACTCTTTTTGTCAGTTTTACGCAATGATTGATTTATCTACTCTAGAACATTCTTTTTAATTACCAGATGTGCATAATTACGTGATCTGTATCGTCCATAAAGACCGGGATATTGTTGTCAAGGGTCCCTTGCTTTCACTTTTAAACTTTTATCGTGAAACACAATGTTTACCTGTTTTCACGGTAAGAAAATTTTTTATATGCGTCTTATTGCTTATCCAATCACATTTATTCTAAGTATTTTGCGAGCACTCACTGTTTAGGTTGATGTACTACCTGGTGCACACATGTTGAGAATACAGACTTATGCTCAAGGTTATATTGGTCTTTTGTTTGTTCATAGTTATTAAAGTTTTTTGTTTTCACTGGTTATTTGACTTCGTTTTTGGTGATGTCAAAGTTATTTATTATTGTGTTGCATATGTACTACTGGAAGTGTCCTAATGTTGTTATGCTTCCTGGTTGTCCACATCGTGAGAGTTGGTTTTTTTCTTGGATATTTGAAAAAGAAAAGAAATTAGTATTTACAGCATCCAAAAGATATCTGCTTAAGATCGATCATATGCGCCTCTTTGGCGAGATTGCATTGTCCTGCATCTGAACTATAAAAACTCATTTCAAGGTGGTTGGAACATATGTTGGTTATGTTTTGCTCCTTTTTTTCTTTTCCCTGACTTTCTAGTACTTTTGTTGACTTTGTATCCATTTATGAATCCTTCATCCTGATGCTTTCTGTCTTAATGACCTGTCTTAATGGTAACCGTAATGCGGTAATCTTACATCTGGTATTGTTATTAACTGACTGACCGCGGGTACCGCAAGAATACATAGAGCATAGAGCAGTAAGCTATTTTTGGGGTAGACTTTTTTTAACCACTCCTTCTGATAAACCAAGACAGCATCATCCATATGAAACACCGTTATACTGTCACACCTTATTCAGGCGGCAGTACAACTTCTTCCTAAGACCTGCACAATAGCATAAGCTATGTATATCATGATGGTAACGGCTTTTTGTCTTACCACTACCTAACAGACCTTACTAATTTGGTAACACTACAAGCAACAACCATTCTAGCCAGGATATCTTGTCGAGCTGTTGCTATATGCATCAGCATATCAGGTTAGAAGGCATCAAAATGAAAGATTGAGAAACAAGAAAGAAAATAGTCAGACATATTAGGAAGTCGCAAAAATTGAGGATGAAGACGTACGGCAATAGGGAAATTTTGTGTAGTGATTCAGATGTAGATAACATGTGGAGGCATATGCACCATTGAAATCGTCTCTGAGCCATATTATTTAAACGCTCCAGCCACTGGTTTATGTTGTGACGCGGACTCCAACTGGGCAGCCTAAATTTCTTTGCATAGCTGAAAACCAAGAATCAGAGACTTCAGGGACTAGTGCTGTGTTAGTTTAGTCACCTGTGACCTTTTTCCAACCTGAACTTATTCCAGCTAACACTGTGCTACGGGATAGAAGCTGATTGTGCATGTATAAAACTTGCTTCAGCTATATTGTTGGTAAAGATTCATAACATCATGAATTGATTTTCTTCTTCTCTTTGGAGTTCTACTCCTGACTTCTACGCTAATGATATGGTGACACCATGACATGCGGCTCATGCCACAAAGGCGATGGTGATCGAACTCCTGAAGCCTCCTCATATCCTCTACCTTTAATCGTCATGTTTGGCATTGATATAGTAGAGTTACATCGCAGTACACTCAGCTCTCAGTAGGCAGTCGGATATCACTGCCGTGCCATAGGTGGTGTAAGTTGATGAAGTTGTCCGTGTAACCTCTGATAGCTAAATTTTAGTTTTAATTTTAAATATTTTGAGCAAATTTACTTGCATTGCATCATTATATTTTGTTTGGCCTTTTCCTTGATATGAATAAATTTATGAGAATGGTTACAATGATTTTCTGTCCCAGTCTCTTCTTACAGTCATAGGTCAAACTGCAGATCCCTCTATTTCGATATTACACTGTTGGGATATAATATTACTTTGCTTGGTGACGAAGTTATCCTTTTGGTTGCATAAACTGAGCGCTTACGAACCATCAGGCATTCTTGTTACTATAAATTTCATTAGACTTCTTTGAGATAGCAAAGGAATGCAAACTACACGGCATCGGTTGACCAATAATTTTGGCTTTGATAGAATAATGAGGCAAAGAATAATGTCTGCCAGGTGAAATATCAATGAAATGTGACCTTTGAGTCACTATTAAACAAGAATCATGTATCCAATTTCTCTGGCTACACATACATCTTACTTGATATGTTTGTTAGTAGTATAATTTTTCAACAGTTTTTTTATCCCATGGAAAGAATGGATTGCAATGTGGTTTGATAGCTGGGATTTTGTCTCTATGGCTAGATTTTGTCGGTCACTAACCTACCTGCTCAATCGTACTTCTCAAGTATCAAGTCACCAAGACGCTCAACCACCATACTCGCTACTGGCATGCGAAGTACTAAAGTAGACCAATGTTGGAGCAGCAATTTGCATTTTGGTTGTGTAAAACACCTTACAAAACATTCTCAAATTGTCACTCCTTGTATCCAGAAAAATTTTCTTCTTGTCATTGTCTTCACTTAGCGTAACTATATTATCCATGTCTAATTAACAGTCTGCGGTAGCAAGGTCAGTTCCTGTAGAGTTCGATGAGGAGAGGGAGATCTATTTAGGCACTTGTATGACGAAATTGAATAAGGATGGAGAAAGCAGACATTCTTGACAGACACCACTCGACGTTTATAAGTCACATAATACCACAGGTTCTAACACGACCACAGATGTTCGAGTACAAAGCTTTCAACGGGTCTATGTACTTACCCGACACCCCTTTCAGTTGCAGACACTATTGTAAGACCTCACGATTGACGGAGTCGAATATCGCCTTCAGGTTATGAGATACATTTGTTGTTAAGCTCTGGTAAATGTCCCTGTGTTCCAGCATCTGGCAGAGAGAGGATTTTTGTCTGCACAACTGCGATCAGAACTTAAACCTGCCTGGTTTTCCTAGGTTTGCTGTTCCAGAGCTCCACTTAGACATCTAATGATTATAGGACCTAGAATCCCAGACAATATTCGTCAGACTGATTCCCTTGTGCCTATCACAAGAGAATTCCTCGCTTTTTCTGGTGATTTTGGCAATCACTGGTCAAAACCAGCCAGGCGAGTTCATATTTGACTCCCACACATTAGCTAACTCTTTAGTTAACCATTTAAATATACCTCAACAACTGTTGTACTAACTGATCTGACCCTACTACCTGTCCTCTATTCATGTGACTTACAGCTTTCCTAACTTATACAAGATTTGTAGGACGTGTCTGAATGCTCCATTCAGGATCTAACTGGATAACGACCAACGGACTAGTAGCTGGAGGTCAGTTTAATTGTTCCTCGAATTTTCCTACCTGTTGTTCTATTCGTCTTTCCCTCCAGTGAATCGCAATCCCACACTTCTCTGCTATGATTTCAGTAAAACACTGACTTTTTTGCTCCAGTTCCTTTTATCAGTCTGAATAACTATCTACTGTTACCTATCGCCTCTGATCACCCCATCTCTTTAGCTTTCCCTACCCACTACTGCTCACCGTTATTGCTTAGACTTCTTGTCAATCTACATTTGAGCTACTTCCGTTCCTCCTTTTACCTTGAACTTGTAGGAATTGATTCATGTACACTCCTTTGTTCAGAGGCAGCTGGTGAGATTCACTGACCCTATTTAGCCGTTTCCGGAGAGTCATTTACGGCCTTCAACACTATTTTCACTGTAGACTGGAAATGACAGGCTTTTTCAGGATGATTTCAACCAGAAAGTGTCCATTTCCCTACACGTCTCAATCCAACAATCAAAAGCTTCATGAAATGTTGCTATATTATAATGTGTTCGCCTTTCGTCATCTATCGGAATGAGTTTTTCCCTCTCAATCAGTCCGTATGAGTCTGTTCAGATCCACTAAATATGTGCATATGATGCATAGTTGTGATGCACAATTGAAATTCAGGTACACTTTTATTGCAGAAATTTTGTTGTTCAAAAACTGAATGTATATTGTTTGAAGTCTGTTGTATCCCCCTAATTCTGCCTGATATTTGCCTATAACTTCGAAATAACTTTATTGTTGCTGTTTTCGTACTCTCTTGGCGCTTTTGCTAGATTTTGTTTTTCCCACTACTTCTGAAGGCTGAACTCTCATTGGTTCTCAACTCTTTTAACTTATCAGTGGATTTTGTTTTTGTCAAGGTCGTTTGGAATATATATATTTGGCATCGAAACCAACTGTTTTTGACTATTGTTGTGATAGTGAAAGATCTCTGTCAACAACCCGTCTTCTCTTCATTTCTTCGCGTCCCAATTGTATTGTTGTTGTGGTTGACGTTCTGATCAGCATTTAGAGTAGATTCATTTGCGCGTTAGGTTTGTATCGCTCGTAGACTGCTAGGTCTCATTTACCGGTCGTAGCAAAGTCGTGTAAAGTTTCAGTTGTATAGCTGTTTATCTGTATTAGAATTGTGATTACCATTATGTCACACTCATGTAAATGCATAATATTTACTTGATATTCAGATGAGAATCATTATGTTGTTTCACGGACTCATGCAATTTATGATTGAAGTTAAATAGCACTGGATTGTTATGATGCATAAACCTTGCAGAAGAGTCAATTTTTAATCATGATGCTTGTGGTTATCATTTGAAGAGACTAATTATTAATTGAGAATCATGATATGAGGAATATAAATAAAAGTCTTCTCTGTACCCATAACTATAATTAGGGATGTCGAAGCAATAAAGCTGACAATTGATCACTGTCTCACCCTGCACTCAGCTAACACACATTTTTACAGACTTTATTGTCTTTTGGTTTAATATATCCCTTATATTGTTGTTTCTAGCCCTAATTAATTCATATTTGTTTTCATTTCAATTGCTTTCTGTTTAGTTTAATTTTTCTGTATGGCAATCGCTTAGAAAAACAGGAAAACAAGCTATGTTACGAAGTTTTCTAGTCGGTGTATCCAACAAAATATCTCAAGAGAAAGGATTGTCGCCATTCGAAATTCAGACAACAAGCTGTTTATATGGTAAAAGATATAAAAACTCTTAATTTCGCTAGTTTGTCAACAATAATTGTGTTATTGTACAGATGATAATCAAAGTTTTGCATATATCAACCGCCAATGTGAGTAAAAAGCATAATTTTTATGCAGTAAGTTGTATGGCATTGAAAGTATCTGCTTCTTCTTTTTCTTTCCTACTAAAAAGTGATGGTTTAAGCATGAATAGACACTTCAACTTTATACTATTCACTTCAGAATGTCGTTTCGATACTGTCTTCAGATTTTAGTAGAAAGCTTCTAGTTTATTTTTCCTTATTCGGAATGAAATTTTATAATGAACACCATAAGAGCATTTTTATTTCTTTTTGTCTTGTTGAGTTTTTTTTCTCTTTTCTTGTTATCACTTACATCCTTTTTTATACAGCATAGTTTGTATCCTGTTAAATGAATTCAATCTTATTATCCCTTTATCTTTAAATGTCAAAAAAAATTAAGTGGAAAAGGTTTATTGTTTGTTTTTTTGTGAGGGTGGGGTGGGGTGGGGGGTTGTGGGATTATCGCATATTTTTCTAGGCAGTTAATCAATGATTACACTATACTGTTTCAAGTGATTGTTTCTCGTGATTATTCGGAAACTTGGTAAAATTTACGAAACTCGTCACTAGTCGTGAGGTATACCTTTTGGTTACAGTCTTATATAATGGTACACTTTGATTTTCTGCTTTAGCTAAAAATCTTAATGATAATACTCACAAGTAACTTGTACATTATTTTAATTGGTGTTTTTTTTCTCTCTTCCTTTTCGAGTTTTTCAGACATTTTTTCCTTTCAGTTACCATTGTTTTTGATTAAGCTGACAGATATACTTCGAAATCGTTCTCCAGTGTTTACAATTTATACGTCAATATGAATAAATCACATTTGTTCACTTCAAATGCAAGAAATTGATTTGAGTAATAAAAAAAAAAGAAAGTGGAATGCAGTTTAAGACATTTATTGAAATGTTATGATACTAACGTTCTTTAGGTTGTTTTTTTTTCTGTCCTCAGTTGTATATTGTAAGTTTTCACGTTATGATAGAATAGTCATCCTACAGCAGTTCATTAGGAATTAAGGAAAAACTTTAAGTTGTTTGAAATGTCTAATTGTAAATGTGGTTATGTTGCTAACTGAAAAAAGAAAATTATTACAGTTCCCTAAGTCTGTTCTTTTTTTTGAATTTAAAGTATTTTTTAATTGGCATATACTAGTTTGGAGAACGACCTACTTCTTTCATAAAGGCTCCCAATTTAAGTATTTAACTTAAATATCACATACAATATTTTATCATTCATAGACTACCTGTTTACAAAGGTGATAGCAAGTATATGAACAAGGCATAACTCTAATATGTACTGATCAGGTGTACTTCAGGATAACTAGTTATTGAAGTCCAATACCAAAGAAAGGATATACATAGCTTTTTGAATGTAAGAGTGTTAATGATTTGTAGTGTGAAGATTGGTGAAAAAATGAACAAGTAATAAACGTAGAGGTTTGAGTGTGATACATACGAATAATTTTCTGTAATGTAGATGTTATCTATTCGAATTATACTAGCACTGTGTTATTATTATTCTGGTCAGTTTTGTATCGTATGACAAGATGACCGTATTTTCTTGCTAAGAAAGTGTTTTCTCATACTAAAAATGCGAAATTAGCCGAATGAAAGGCATAAGTTTCATCGGAATCCTTATGTTTCTTGTCCTTTCAAGTAATAATGATTTAAGAAAATCTGATTAAGATCTTACTACTGATTTCAATGGATGCTTCCTGAAAAACTGCTGAAATTAATATTATCTTCATTTTTCTTGTGTTACCAATCGTCTTATTCCTTTACATTACGTCATCCCTAGCCATGAATGCATGGTGTGTTTCTGAGACGCGTATACAGAACCCGAGTGTGGTTATTAAACTGACCTCACCTAGCCATAGCAGTGAATCTTAACAGTATTCCGAGACCCAATGGTTAGCTCTCGTGGACTGACTGGTGTAGGCATAGCATTGAGCTGTAGGACAGGAAGTTCGCTTCTCAACTGGATACCAGTCTACAGCTGTCTGTGTGCTATATGTGTGAATGTATCTGCAAGAACTTTGAAGGATTGTGGGACTAACTGATGCCCATTGGTGATCTTCGCCTACATACCTACTGACTGCAGTTCGGATGATGCGAAGAATGAATACTATGAGAAACTGTCAACTTTGCTACAAAAGGCAAGATGTTCAGATGTAGTAATAATGGTAGGTGACTTTAACGTAGAGTTAGGTCAGCTGAGCTGAGCTGAGCCAATGGGAAGTGTGTGTTTGTGGTTATATACGGAATGGCATGCCAAGGAACGGACAACGGTGATGGTGTATTACAGTTTGATTGTGATTGTGACACTGACTTGTTTCTGTGCAGGACTAAGGCAGGACTAGGGCACAGGGAGAGACAGTGTTTCACAGATTATCCGCTGAGATTAAAGCTGCGATTGTGGAGTAATGCCGCTGTTTGTGGAGTATGGGTGTTTTGACCGTGATCATATGCTAGTGTTGAGTTGTATGTGTCTGGGCGATACTGGTCGCAGGAAACAGGAGGCAGTGAAGCCCATGTTTGCTGGATCTATGGATGAGGATGTCAAGTATGTGATTTTGTGAGGAGTTAACTCAGCAATTATCTGAACATGAGAACAATCGTGATTTATAGGAAATCTGGTGTGATATTGACTCTAGTGTAGAAACGGGTAAGGACAATTGGTAACCTACTCCTGAAGTTTAGCTAACGTGAATGGATTTCTACGACATCATCTGAACTGACTGATGTGAGAAGACTAATTCCAGCTGTCTTTAGTCACAATAAAGAGGGAAAGTAACCTTAAGTTAAATTGAATAAGAGTCTTGAGAATGATACCAAGCAGTGGTGAGTGGCGAGAGCGAGAGAGATGGAGAAGGCGTCAGCGTTGGTTAACACTCGGCAACTATGTTGGCATATTGAGGATACCGGTTCTGACAGTTTGCCACTTGAAGTTTACAATGAATAGAGGTAATGCATTGGTGATTAGATTGACTGAGGTACTGCTTACTATAAGGGAATCAGAGGTGGTGCTGTCAAACTGGTGTACTTCACTGATCATCCTAGTCCGTAAGAAGGGAGAAAAATCTCGTGACAACCCTCGAGGAATTAGTTGGACTGATATCGTGTCCAGGATCCTAGGATCGACAGTTATCCGACGCCTAAGTGGAGCTGAAGAAAACCAGGCAGGTTTCAAACCTGGATGAGGGTGCACCAATCAGTTTTTCACTCCCCGACAAGTTCGGGAATATGTATGTACTCACCGAAGCCCGACACCTGCCATATTTTTAGACCTGAAGGCTGCATCTGACTCAGTCGACCATGAGGTGTTGCGCCAATGTCTGTCTGTTAAGGAGTACCCAGCAAGTTTATGATGCTGCTTATCAAAGCTGTCTACACGAACTCACGCACCTGCTTAAGGTTTTATGGAGAATTGTCTTCTGAATTGACGACTAGTGGTGAACACCAGGAATCCCCTCTATCACCGTTCAAATTTGACTTCGTAGATGTACTAATGAACGAAACTTTTCGCGCATCTGACTTAACAGGGATTGACCTACTGCTAGAGGCCATCTGGCTGAATTGGACTATGTCCTGCTAGGTGAAGACGCTGAACAAATGTAGGGTTTTGTGAACGCGTTGGGCGGAAATCTGAGTGTTTGGTTAGCATGCGTTTCTCACCTGTCAAATGTAAAATGACACTGCAGGACTGGTCTGCATGGATTCGTAGTTAAATTATAGGTTGTGAAATGGTGGAATATGTTGACTATTTCACTTAGAAAGTTACGTCAGCCTGAACGGGCTGGTTGCTGACGAAATCTCAGCTCGGCGTTCGTCAACGTGTCGGCCGGTAGCTTGCAATAGATTCTCAAAGAATCAAGCGTGCGTAGGTACAGAACTCTCAGCAAGTTGATACATTGTTGTAGGTTTTCTCGATTCACGACGTCAAACCCCAACTTCAAGTCAAGAAATATGATCCAGTGATCGTCTTCAATAATTTTATGTTTTGTGGCTTGGCAGAGAATGAAAATCTACTCAATACAGTACTGAAGTTGAGACCTGTCTCATTCCTTTGGATTTTTCATTCCTAAGCGTTAATTCAGTGACTACGGATAATAAAACCTCAGGTAATACATTAGTTGGACTAATTGGTCTGCGATTGCCACCAAAGTACTCCTGCACTTTCGTGAAAGTTGGTTACTGATAGTTTAGTCATACTGAATCATGTTTAGTTCTCACACCGTAGCTAATACCTTAATGCTTATTCTGAATGACTATCATTAGTTACTTCTAATGGTAGCCTATTAAAAGTCACAACTGTGTTTTAGGTTACTTGTAGCATCAACTTTATCAACAGCTGGGTTTTCTGTCAGTCTCTCATTCACTACGTGATAGTCAAATAAACAGACTAACATGTAACAGTGTAGATGGAATTCCAGTGGAGATAAGTATGGAAGTTGGTTTTTCGAAGTATCTTGAAACGACACCTACGTCACAGATAATATTATTTTGCAAAGTGTAAAGATATGTGACCTGGGTAACAAAGTTCGATGTCATAACGTAGTTTTCCTTGAATGCTATCTGATTGGTCGTTTGACGTGGACGTAGCCTGACCCAGACTGATTGACTTCCTGTGTTCATTTTCCTCAAAGGAGTGCTAGCTTAATGGTTGGTTGAATTCTTTTATTCACTTGCAGTACGTTGGGGTCGTTTTGTTGTACTACTGGAAGTCATTTTTTTCTGATTGTTTGACTGGACTAGCGAAAGTTGTTTTGATTGGCCGGCTTGTACGCATTGGAGGGGAGATGCTCTCCGCTTATTGTCTGATATACTTCAAATGGAGGAGTGTTCCTTGCTATTAATAGTTGCATTGGTTTGCCTATTTCCTTGAATGTCGTGCTCCCAAGAATTCTCGGGCTCCTTTCAAGTTCGTAATTTCGAGTATTTTAAAGTTGT